CACACACACACACACACACACACACACACACACAATGAGAGAGTGAGAGAAACTGCATATGGAAATCCTTGGGTTTGAAGAGAGTTTTTTTACACAGTGCCCACCTCTGTTTTGAAGGGCAAAGTTTTCATCGCCTTTCAAAGAGCAGAAAGGATGCTGTAGTAGCAAAAATAAATTTTTGGGTCCAACCCACATATCTGTTTAGGGGCCTGAGTATTAAGTAGCCATTTCTGAAGAATGACATAGTATTGCTAAGGTGCATATTTGGGTTCCCTGATCTATCAATCCAAAGTTTCATCATCAATAACCCCGATCAGGCAGATGGAAGTGACACCATTATAATCCATGTATAACTCTTAATTCTGTGTCTGGGCAGTGATGATTCTGAAAAATGATCCATGCGTTGCATTCTGTAAATTCCATTACACTTAAATCACGTGTTTATGTTCATTCTTGGAGGGGAAATTGCAATTAATGAACAGTTCTATGCAGCAAAGCTGGCAGTCTGACAAAAACTAGGAAGTGAGTTGTTTTCCTGTCTCGACTGATGGCTTTGCCTTTCATCAGTGACCATCATTATTCTAGCAAGCAGATTTATTTCCCTTTTGATATTCCCCTTTCATGCAAGGATTCTGTCATTGTTCTAACCTGTAGTGTTCATTACACATAAGTGGAGGACAGCCTTTGGCAATGGTGAAAGGGAAGAATCTTCAGTTTAGGCATTTAGCCTTCGTGATCCACTGTTCTTTCCACACCCCAGAACAATCTGGTGATATATTCATCTGGAGAATCCTTTTTGTTTGGGAGGTGGGGTGGTGGCGGAAAGAGTCAGATCATGGTTTTTGTCATCCTAGGACAGTGAAATATTTGTGGCCCTCAGAGCAGAACAGTTAGTTACAATTCTGTGTATGCACTAGTTTTACTTTGCTGTTCCTGCAGCAGTTTAGATGGCATGGCAGGATTTTTTTTAAAAGATGTGAATTCTGTCCATATGCTCTTGCAGTTAAAAACACCTTGGCTGCCCATGCAAAAGTTTTGTAGAGTATGAATTGCATAGTTGCCCTCGGAGCAGAAAACAATACATCACATTGGAGGCTGCGACTGCTTTCATACCAGCAGTCACGTAGAAAGCAACAGGGGTGCCCAAGCTACTGTAGATGAGGAAGGAGGGATCTTACAGGCGTTTGCAAACATTAAAATTTGGATGCAAGAAGTCAGAAAATTATATAAGGTTGAAAAATCCTTCCCTTTTCTTGGGTGGCTTCTATATTGTTTCATGGCACTTGCATCTGGCACATGTAAGACTTGAAATGTATAATTTTCAGAAGTTTTGAAGCAGTGGAGAACATCATTTTCTGGGCAAAAAGAGAGATTTTGGGACAAAGTGATGTGCATGTGATACCTACTTTCATATCAAGCCTACAGAAAATGCATCATGAAACGGTAGTATTTTACATGTTTATGAAATGTAGGCTGCTCACCTGTATTCATTTACTTGAGAGTGAGGGTCACTGAACTGTATCTGACTAAGTAAGGTATAGGTTAATTCTTAAAGAGCAATCCTGTATCTACTTCTCCCATTCCTTTCAGTGGAATTTAATTCCAAATAAGAATACATAGAATTGCAGTATCTTTTGGCCTTTTCATCTTCTGAACAAGCTGCACTATAACATTACTGTTTCACCATCTGTAGCAAAGTTTCTGCTCTGCAGTTCTTTCAGAAGAGATGTGAATGGGTTGATCACAAGGGAGGGGCCAGGTCAAAAAGGATAGCATGTGCAGGATATCTCCAAACTAGATCCAGGATCTTTGGCAAAAGGCAATTAAATTTACAAGCAGTGAAGACCATTGATGTTCTTCTCATGAAGACAGCAGCACTCTTAGGGGACAGAAATCCATCTTGCCTCTTTCTTTATGTTATAATGTTTGTGTTTCCTTGAGTTATCAGTACTTAGTTATCACGTCTACGTTGTTGCATTCTGTATTGTTTTAAAAGTTTTTTTTAAGGAAGTTGGAAAATGCCAGAAATGCATATTATGCTACAAAATGTCTCTGTGAAAGAGGTATTTGGCTTCCCCCCCCCCCCCCACCAAGCAAGAATTTTATAACAAGCAAGAAGTAGACTAGGGATAGGCATGTCTAGGGGCCATTTTCAATACCTGGATCCACCTGGTAGACCACATCTTCCCCCCTCCCCAGTGGTACCTAAAAATGGACCTTGGAATGGCTCCAGAGTACCAAAAAAGTCTAAATTATCTTATTTGGGTGTTACAGTATAATTAGCTGCTTTTAATGCTATTTTGGTTTTGTTTTATTCTGTTTTATTTTTAAGTTTGATTTGTACAACTTTTTAATGGGGGCATGGAGCCCATTTACCAGTAGCTGCCTACCCTGAAAAATGGGGAAAACCTTGTGCCTGCTGGATCCCCTTTATCTCTCACTGTGAGGGTGTCATTTTGGAGTCTCACACAAGCGATTATCCATGCATGTGCCGTGCCAATGCATGTGCTTTATTCCCTTGTTCCTTTCCCCTGCTGCTGCTGCTGCTATTACTGGATTTATAGTCACTTTTTATATGTATTTTGCAATAATCCTTCTTGGGGAAAGTGTGCATGTGTTATCTCCATAAAGCTTTGTAGTTTTTTTCCCTCCAAAGTGACTCCTGTCACCCATCTACAACAGTGGTAAGTCCCCTAATACAGCATTTACACAGGAGGGTCAGTCTATGGATAGCAAAACATACGTTTCTTTAAATCTTACATAGTTTAGCAAAACAGTCCTAAACATATGCAGTGGTATTTATTGCTACAATTATCGCTGTAAATGCCATGATTACACAAAGTGTCATGTCACACTGATTAGCTCTGGATCCCCTAATGTAAGTGATAATGTAGAAATCCTGGAATTTGACTTTCTTTGAGGGATCTCTGCAGGGGCGGGGGGGGGGGCGGGGAGCAACTATGAACTATGCCATCCTGTTCTTTCAAAGTCATAAGTAATTGGGGAGGGGAGTGTTTAATTTTCTTGAAGCACTAAAGCAAAGCACAGATAAGGTAGCATAGATAAAAAGACAATGAGCACTAGTAATTCTACTGGTAAAATGAGACAAGCATTTACATAAAATGTAGTGAACAGAATAAGTTGCCTTAGGGTTGCTTGGATTACAACAGTGTAATCCAAGGGTTTTAAGTACAACTCCCATCAGCCCCAGCCGACATAGCCAAAGTCCAGGAAAAAATAGTGCTGTAGTCTACAAAGATTGGAGATACCAGGTTGAGGAAGGCTGGTTTACTCCAGACATTTTCCCCCAGTCTTGTTCCAGGAAGAGTCGCTTCCTCAAATATTGTTTGAAAATGTCTTGAGTGCGGCTCTTTTTTTTTTTTTTTTAAGTGTAGTTTCTTTCACTGAGTAAGGTTTCTCCCCTATATTTACCATGTTTTTTGAGAGGTGCTGATCACAATGTATTTCCTCTAATAGCAGGGTACACACTCTAAAAGCATGTTATGCTTTTTTTTTTTAGTTAAAAATCTATTTGAACTTGTTAACCTGATTAGGATAAACTTATAATCAAGTCAACCATCTTTCACAACCTCTGAACAAAACTAAGTCTTTGAAGTGTGTTGCAAAGCATTTTTTCCAGCTCAGATGTTAAGAATTTTAATAGAAAATGATAAAAGCAATTTCTCCTGCACATTTGTATGTTAACATATCCTGAGAAACTGTAACTTTAGGCACAAGTTATTAATGTTTTCTTCTACTCCTGGGTCAATAAATGTCCCTCTTGCACAGTTCATTTGAGATTGCTGAATTGTATTCCCTTGTTGTTTTTGCACATGTCTGAATGTATTGTTTTGCTTGTTCTTCATATGTAAACGTTTAATACAATAGCTGAATTTTTATACAGTATTTGCGTATTATCTTGAATTTTTTTCTAATCTGTCAACATGTGACTTTCTCTCTGTAGCCTCAAGTACTACAGCCTTCCAGCCTCCTTCCCCGTTTCACAGACCTCGCCCAGGGAAAATTAATAAAAACATCACACACCGCGGCCCTCAGTGAAAATCCCAGTCAAGACCAACAGAAAACCGGTGGCCATGAACATCAGAATGCTGCAAATGGCTCTTGCACCAATAGCCTAAATGTACCAAGCACTTTAAATACCCGTTTAAATGTTAAAAAGTCGGAGGAGAATTCACATTCCATCAAGAATGTTAAAGTTAGAGAGAAAACTAAAGAACTGACCGGTAGAAAATCTAATATGCTACAGACTCATCCCTCTTCTTGCCAATCGTCTGCCCAACATAATACGCAAGAAGTGCAGACCAAATTAGTTCTAAAAAATAATTATTCACGAACAAACGAGGCTTCACCCCCAAAGACTTCAAGAGCTACAAAACCCCCAAAGCAGAATGCTTTAGTGCCTCCTCCAGTAACTGTTGCAGCAGCATCTCCAGAAGGCTCTCCTGCTTCAAAGGAGCCCAAACTGATGCCACCGGGCAGCCCAGCGCAACTGCAGTCAGCATCCAGTCAGCCTGATCTGAATAGAAAGAGCCAGAGAACCTCTAAACTTCGTCCTCCAACCATTTCCTTTAGGCCCAAGCAAACGACAAATCCAAGTATCATGATACCTCCCGAACATCAGAACTCCTCACCTCAGACAAACCACTCAAGACAACTAACACAAGCAAAGGAAAATATGCAGAACCAAGATTCAAGCATCCGTTCTGGTGACAGCGTGGCTTCTAATCGGCATTCCCGCCTCCCTAAACCAAAGACATATTGAAAGTATGACTTGCATATGCATTTGTCAGTGTCCTGTATTGTGAAGCTGCTTACCCTCATCCTTCCTTGCCTCAGTCAGGATTCTACATCCAAAGTGTCCAAGCATTGAATGCTGCGTTTCTTCTAGCATCTGACTATTCTACTCTCTCTTAATTTCGTACCATTTAGAAATGTACATCATTCCTTCAAAATGTGGTTTGCAAAAGCCTATGGTTTCCACTGTTTGCATTATCCGCAAGTCCTTTGAAAGTTAGCTTGGCTTGATACTAATGTTTTCAGTGACTACTGGTTGCCAGAGTGTTACACCATTCGTCAGAGTCGGCTGTTTCTGGAAAAGTCTATGATTTGGACTACTGAATAACAGATGGCTAAGGCTTCACTTTACATTCTAATTATAAGTGGTGGTCATACTATACAGTGATGGTCCTTTTTGTCTTCATCCCCAGCCATAATTCTGACTCCGCATCTCAGAGGCCTATGCAAAATGCTCCTGTTTATAACAATGCTCAACCCAAGACATTCTTTAGAATGTCTGTTTGGTGTTTGTTTAAGGCTTCTGTTTTTCCAGACAGATCCTAAATTGCTTTATTTGCTTTTGGATCTATATTCACTGTTCACAAGTGGCAAGCGGAATTTCATTGGGTGAAATGGAACTTAACTGTATTTAAACATTAATTTATTGATGCACTATAGATAGCCTGTAGAATGTTTTTGTGTTCTGCAGGTGTTGTGAGATAACTGAAACCCCCATTTAGAATACGTTTTTAGGATACATGTCCAAAACCCCTTTTCATGCAGGCCGTCATGAAATGGAATGTGATATGACTTGGAATAAGTCTGTGACTTCCATGCTGAGTATATTCCTAACATCTTTCATTTTAGAGTTTAACAATGCTAATATTATTTATTGATTTCTGTAGCTGTTAACAAGTCTCAAGAAGCCAACTTGAAAAGTTTGCACAAAACTTTGCCATAAATGTAGGGATTTGAGAATAGTTTTTCCTAATAGAAGCTTGTTTTTTAAGCCCTATTTTAAAATGCACATGTTTGGGGAAACTGCTTGGTGTAAGATGAGAAGAGTTCAGGGGTTAAAACTGCTTTGCAATGAATGATAGGTGGAAAGTTGATGGGTAAATGTAAAAAAACCCCTCTCAGATATATCCTGCAAGAAGTTGGGTGTAGTCAGATTTTTATGGCACCATAACATAAATAGATACACCCACAGCTTAAATATGCAATGAAAAGCATCAAACCCCCAAAGGCAAATATAAAATATCGGTTTAACTGCATCTATGTCTAACTCAGGTGCCAACCAGATGGTATTTTCCGATACTGTCTTCTGTAGAGTTTGAATGAAACAGTTAAATGAGAGTTCCATCATGGTGGCTTTGACCCATCTGTTGACTCAAGCAAGGATTTTGCAGGAAAATGCATTTTAAAACTTAGACTATTTGTAGCCATTTGCTTCTTTTAAGCCAAGGATTACTTCTGCTCTCAGCAGGGATGTTGAAGAAACTTGGAAAGACCAAACATATTCAATTGCAAGACTGACCACACACACCTCTTAGGTGAACTATATATGTATCACCTTTAAACTTGCAATGAAACATTTCTGGTTGCTGTCTCTCCTCAGTTGTGGGATATTTTTCCCCTAAAATATTTTCAAGTGGGACAAATATTTTAAACCACTTGTCTTAAAGCAACCAGTGTTGGGTGATAAGAGGCCTAAGTTTTAAATGTTAACAAAAATGTTTTGGAATTACCCATTGAACCACATGGTTTATAATCAAACTGTCCATAGAGTTGTGATGGAATAATTGTTCAAAGGATGGGGTTCTTGTGCAGGGATTATTTAAAGCTGCAAAGCAATTTGTCTTAACAAATTTTGGTTGTGGTCAGAGTAGAGGCATAGTTGGGGCTTTTTGTCTGAGCATTAAATGTAACAGGATCCCATATGCCATACTTTCCACTATTAAAACACTCCTGAAAGAGAAGTTCGTGGTTCTTCTTGTTCTTACAAGAAGAGAGTTGTGGTTGGTAAACGAAGTTTTAGAATTGAATTGGTTAAATCATATTTCACATTCGGTCTCACAATGACATCACTTGAGGTCTACCTTGCAGGGATTTACCCAAAAAAGAAAGAATTCTGCCACTTTTTTGTCACAGGGAAAGTTGTATGAAAAATTGTTCACCTGGAAAAAGGAGTTGCTATTTGCCTAGTGCAACTGCTGGTTACAAGATGGCTTTTAGAGAAAAGCCCTTTGCATCCATTTTAAAAGCTAGACATGTTTTTTAAGTATAAACCAGAAAACTTTCAAGGATTTATTTTTTAATTCGTATTACTGAAATTATTACTTAGGGCACTTAATGTCAACAAAGCACTGCGGGCAGGCATGTTTCTGTTCCTTACGTTAGCTTCAGTAAAATATAATACTTGATGAAAATAAACTGTTTTCCAAAGGTAATTTTAGCATTGCATACCCTCATTTTTTAAACCGACAGACAGGCATTTAAGAAGCAAAGCTGAGGACAGAAGGTTGGCTACATGTTAGGTGGTGATGGGTAGCCTCAGCTGTGTGCACTTCAACATACACAAATTTTAGAGTTCTGGGGTAAGTCGGCTATCACATGACCGGAGTATGTTGTTAAGGATCATTGCCTCACTACCTCAGGCAGTTATCTGACAATGAAAGCCAAGCTCAGAGATAATGGCTTTCACCAACTTGCATTAGTCCAAATATTTAAACTGGGCATGTGCACTTTCTCTGAGTGTTACCATATGAAAGGAAGTTCTAATGTATGTTTCGAAAGTCCAGAGTAGGAGAGAGAGATTTTTCAGATGTGGGGAGGTGACTGAAGGCTCAGTATAGTTTGTAGATAGTGCTTTGTGGAATGCCAGGCCTGCGGTGAGACTCCAGTAGATGCAAGTATCTATTTCAAGGAATATCAGTACTTAACTTCAAAGTGAAGAAATGTAATTAGGATCAGAACAGAGATTTATTTTAGGTATATATATTAAACAATTGGATTTTTTAACCTGTGCATTTTATCCTTTTGGATTCTCCTACATTATGCAATAATTTCTAAAGTATTAAATTGCTTCTCAAAAGTGTATAAGGAAGAAGATATTGGTCTTTTAACAATAGATGCAGATGTGCAACAAAACTAATTTGCACTTTAAATGATGAACTCTTTTGCTTGGAGTTGTGCCTATATTTAATCTACATGCCTATGGCTGAGTTAGTGAAATAGTTTTCAATAAGTATTGGGTGTTAGGAGTTGGTTTTTTGTTTTTTATTTTGTACAATGAAAGCTTACCACAGACAATGCAGCTCATAAAATGACTCTAAGCTGTCTTTCTTTGCCACCAGTCCTTCATTATTTCTAGACATTTGTTCATGGTACTGTAGCCTACAGGACTGCAAGACTTAGTCTCCCAACAGTTTGTCTTAGTGAGCTTCCACTTTTTAAATGTCCACAACGTGCATAGTGTTGCTGAAAGTTTGGAAGCAATTCATCCAAAAGAAATACCCACAAAGGCAAACTTGCCAGAAGTGAGGCTTAAATATTCTGGGTCCTTATGTAATTTATGCTGGTGCTCATGTCAGGTTGGATGCTGTCCTCTGTATTTTGAAGAGATCTGCCCTTCAATTTATATGTTTAAATTTCATTTTTGAAGCATTAACAAACCTGTGCAGTAGTTGAACTTCACCAGTTGTTGAGTGAATCATTTGTGTAATCAAATCCTTCAAGTGGTTCACAGATAAATATGATATGAATTCTAAATTCTACTATGGTGAAGTTCAGGTAGACAGCACATAAATCAGTCCTTGCTCTCAAATGCTGATTTTTGTGTTAATGCAGTTTATGTAACTTGAATAGCACTTGTGGTTATTTTGTCCACTGCATGTCACTCCATAGGCATTCATGAAGTCTTTCATATCCTGATAGATTAGCATGCGTGGGGATGAGATGTATGTTTTCATAAGTTCTGGTTTTGGTAGAGAGGCATTCCTATGCTTTAAAATGGATATTGATTCTGGAATAGTGTTTCCATTTCATCTGTCTTTCATCCAGTTGCAGTGGTTCTCTGAATGCTATAGACACAATCCAGCTGAGGTATTGCAAAGGCCCACTAATTTCAGTAGGAAAATTAAGTTTGTGCTCAGCTCTCAGTGAAAGTAAGTGAGAATTAAATGCTTAGCAGTGTCGGATCATGGCCTGTTGAAACATGATCATAGTTGCGGACACAGTTTTAGACTCTTCTACAACTATGCTCTAGAAAAATGCAAAGATGTTTTGATCACTGTTGTGGTAAAGCTGCTCACTGCCTATGTAAATGTCAAAAGCACCACAGTAAATTAATATTAACTGCAGTGTTAGTATTTGTCTTAAAATTCAGTACTAGCTGCAAAAGTACCCTTAGTATTTTGTTTAAAGAAAAATCAAAGTAAATACTGTATATTGGAACTTGCTTGTAAAGATTTAAAAACTTGTATGTAAAGACTTTCCTCAATGTTGCTTTAGTGAATAAAATTCATAATTCGGAGTGTCTTTTGTGTTTTAACTGTCATTGCCTGCTTGTGTGTGGCTGCTGGATAAAGGCTGGGAGATGCAGAGAATTGCCGCTCTTGGCCTTATTTTTTAAAATGATTATTCTGCCGCCTAGTGTTGTCAGTGGAAATCTGCAAACCGCCTCATCGGTGTTTAGATCTGTAAACTAAAATGAGAAATGCTCTAATCCAGTATAATTTCAGGTGAACAGTACTGGAAAGAGTGAATTTAGTAATAGCTTTAACATACATTAGTTTGTCTAATAATTCAAATTCAAGCCTCTCTCTGAAACATTCCCTCTTTTCATTCTATTCACTGAGCAGATCGTCTTGGAAAAAGATTCCTAACTCCGTGTCTTTTCCTCCTGTAAGCTGCAGTAGAAAGAAATGTGAATGCAAGCTTGAACTCTTGTGAAGGAGGTAGCCTCTGTGTGCAGCCTAATGATCAAACAAATGCTTGCATGTGCATACCCAAAGAATGATGACCCAAATAATTTCGTAACATCCTCCCAGTGCCTTCATCTCAAGTAAATGACATGGTTGGGTAAGGATCAATGATAGTTGTGTGTAATGGTGCTAAAAAGTTGCCACAGGCCTAACTGCACATGGAGAAATTTATATACCTTTCCTTAAAGAAATGTTAAACTGGATGGCTTACATTAACATATGGAAATATGTACAGACTCTGGTATTCTGAGGCCATTTTGCATGACCATGTTGTTTCTACATACCGAAGGAGCAGGCAGGGTTGCAGGTAGCAGTCCTCCATGGATCAAAGGACTGAGCCATGAAAACTATGGCGCGGCTGAGGGAAAAGGGCACTGAAGGTCAAAGGATTGCCATGGTCAATCTCTCTAGGCCTCGTTTTATCTGAAGCATTTCTGACTCCCCACAATTTGGGCATGTCTCATAAATGTAATTTAAGAATACAGCAATTCCAGCTCTTAAACATATTCAATCTAAACTGCAGCAAGTCATGTTCAAACTACTGAGGCAAATATGCTTTAAAATGGCAATTCATATTTCAAAGGTTTCTCTAAAGCATCCCATTTTCTAAACATTGGCCAGGTAGACCTCCTCTAAGTGCCCTTTCTAGTCTCCCCCGCCACGCTATTATCCTTTCAAGCAAACAATTTAACCTGGGTTCAATCATCCATTTGAATGCTCTCCTACCTAGCATGTGTGCCCCATGCACCAAGGCAGTAATATCTGAGATCCCAGGCCATGGGGTATCAGTGTCCAATAGCCCAGTAACTGTTCTGGGTGTTCAGCTGTTGACAAATGCACAGGACTTTTGATAGTAATTAGTGAAGCACGCTGGAACTTGCAGAGCACGAGCAGAATTGGGCTTCTTTGCTTTGATGCTGTTGCTTTCCAGGGCAAAGTGGATTTCCCTCCAAAGCCAACATAAGCAAAACTTCCAAAGACTTTAATATTGATTCATGAGTTGGAATTGTGCAGATTGTATTTATTTTGGAACTACTGTCATCTGGTTCTCAGAGACTGATAGAATAGTAGGGTTGGAAGGGATCAAGAAGGCCATCAGGTCCAGTGCTGATGGACCTGATCAGTTCACCCTAAATAAAGCATCAGTTTGTTTCTTTAATCTCCGATCATGAGCAGGAGGTGGACACAAGTGACTGAGAAGTCCATCTTCTAATTAAGGCATCTTTAAACCAGGAAGCCCACTGTTTTGCAGCAAGACAGCAATGGGACTGTGAGAGGCACATTCTTCCAAGAACTAAAAGCATCATCAGAGGTTAATTGATGTGGATAAGTGACAAATTTTCTGAACCAAATTGACCCATTTTCTGAAGTGTCAGGGCATTCTTCAAGCTGGGGTAAAAAGCACAATGCTTCATAAAGACTTTGCAAGTGCAGAGTAGGGGCAAATATTTAAAAAAGAACATTGGGTCCTTGAAATCTGGAAAAAATAACTAGTACAGGACAGGATTGAACAAATTGGGCCCACTTTGGAAGTCATAGACTGAAAATACAAGTTACCCATCTCTAATTTTGGGGCCAAAGATACTTTATGCCAATCTCAAATCATCAAAAGTCTGCTTCAGAATCTAGTATAAAATGACCATTTACCAGTATTTTTTTTTAAAAATACCCTTACTTATTTGGGTTAAGCCTTCCTGTGGCTTTGTACTATTCCAGTGCTATTCTAGGGAGATTTATACAGAGTAATAGCTGAGCAGGTAAAATATTCAGGTTAAGCAAGTATACTGTTCATTTCTCTGTGTGGCAGGCATCTTGTAGTGAGGCCCAATTGCCTGATGGGCCTAAAACTTCCAAAGACTACTAATCCTCTTTTTAGCTTCACCATCCTGTGAAGCATGTTCAACTGGTAAGTGTTTGGGCAGGGCTATCCAGTTAGTTCACAGAAGACAAAGGATCTGAATCATAGTTTCCCCAGTCAAGCTCAACTTTCAAACCACTATCCCTAACGGGGGTAAAAATGGCCTATATAAGCACTGCTCAGTTTTAAGTATTGTGGAAACTGATTAGGAAGTTCCTAATTTGTGTGACAAGCAGCAATTACATGAACTTTCTACAAATGGGAATATCACTAGGAAGGAGTTTCTGGAGATAGCATCCAAGTAGCTGAACAACCACTGAGCAAAACAAAACAATTCTTAGGTGGACATACTTCAGCCACTTGCTTCCTACTAGTGTCTTACCAAAGTAAGCAGGAAAATGCCATTTATGAATTAGACTGAAGCTTCAACAGTCCAAATGGAGTGGAGGAAGAGGATCAATCATGGTAGCCTAATTATCAGACTGCTGAGTGATAAAATGCTAGTAATCACTCAACTAGCATGGTTGCTTACATATCACCACAAAAGAGGAGACCAAATACCACCCTTCCTCTAAGGAAAACTTGGGAAAGTTACTAGGGAAAGTCTAGATCCTCCCACTCCTGCCATGGTAACCCTTTCAGGGTTTTTCATGGGATGGATGGAGGGATGTATTTGCATGCTATTTCATACTACAGATTCTGGAGTAAAGATCATCAGTTGAATTGTACTGCTCCCCAGTAAATATGTGCTTTGTTCTTTCAAGTTTTGAAAAAAGAGTTGCTCAGTGCATGGGCTCATTCCTTCTGATTTCACCAGTTTTTCACTAGAATTTAAGGACAAGAAAGAGAACTTTGCTTTGGATAGTGTGCAGCAGATGGCACTGTGATGCAAGCTGATGGAAAAATGGGAATGTGAAGAAGGCAGATAAAACTCTTGCCTGTATCAAAAACAGCTTCCTAGTGCAATACCTGTGTCCTTTACCAATGCAGTTTCTGCAACTTACCCTTCTCATCTATCCTATTCTTGGTAATGAGTGGTACACAGATTAAACATGTAAACTCACTCCTGATTTCTGTTCATCCCCCTGAGTAACAGCCAATTAACTCAACTCCTACTCTTCAGCTGAAAGGAACTGTCATCATTCTGCTGGGAGCAGAGGAACAGAAGGGAATGGACAACCTGGTGAAATATACGCATGTGTAATTAGAAACAGAATGTTTCACAATTTATATTCATTCATAATATATGTTATGTTTCCAGCAAGTTGCACTTCAAACTGTTTAAAATTTTGTATATTTAAATGTCATGCTGCGTTTTATCTATGGTTTGTTTCTGTGCGTTGTTGAGAACTGCCCTGAGGGCCTCAGCTAAGGGGTGACATAGAAAAGAAATAGCTATGGAGAGAGAAGTGGGGAAGGAGCTAAATACTGGGAGGTGGAAGATGTTGTTCCTTGCCTCAAACAAGGCTGAAGGCCAGTTCGTACATTCAAGAGGAATGGAATGATGAGCCAATTCTGGTACCATCCATCAAGCTACCAGTGTGGGGTTGCATGTGAACGCCTTCTGACGACAGGAGAAGCCAAACTCGTTCAGTAGACATAGAAAACGGCCAGGTTGCAAAGGGCGGTCCATCCTCAACAGTGATGCATGACCTGGTGAATGACTCATTGCACCCACACCCACAGCAATCAGCAGACTCCTGCTGAGCCTAGACGCTGCAACAAGCACCTCTGGCTCAGGACAAGCCCTCAAAAGCAAAGCAGGGTGGAAGTCAGCAAAACGCCTGCTGCAGAAGTTGTGGAGAGGCAGTTCGTGTCTGAGGCTTCCTAAACTAGTTGTCCTTCAAAGGAAGCCTGAGGTATCTTGTCCAGATATCCATATAATCAGGCTGCCTGCCATAATGCACATGCAGAACCATGGCCTACTTGGTTCAAGGAAGAATTCAGTAGTGCAGCAGTGTGGAATAGAGCGGAGGGTGTTCCTGGGCCAACCCTGCAAGCCCTTACCAAAAACCAAACAAACCACCCTCTATCCCAAATAGATGGACTGCAGCTTTGTGGAAACATGTCATCTGTTCCTCATTCTCCTTTCCTTTCCCACCGCTGTCTGCTATGATGACCAAAATAGCCTGAGATGAGGAAGAGCTGGAAAACTAGCAGTAGCCACAGTACACTTCCAGGGGTCCAAACTTGAGCGAGATCATGGGGAAATGTTCGCAATCACATCCAGAGATTTACAGGAAAATAGTCATTCATATTGGAGATTATTCTATTTAAAAGGGACTGTCGCAGCGATTCCATTGCTGTCTAAACAACAAGCATTCCTCCCATTCCTTGTGCCATGCCGATTCTTTTATTTCCTAGACCAGCAGCCACCAGAATGAAGCTTCCCTTTCCCCACTGCTTGTACATGAAGTCTACAGGTCAACCAGCCAAAAGCCTGCGAGCAGGGCAAGAGTTCTGTCATCAATGGACGGCAAAGGGTTGCAGTGTACTTTGGGTAGTTGTTGCCCATAGAGTGATGTGAGGGGGAGGGCTGATAGCCCAACCCATCTTGTTGAGATTTTAAATCACAGAAGCCTTTTTTATGTATATGTTTCATAGAGCCACATGCCATCAATAATTCCACCTTGCATAATATGCATGATAAATACCAACCTAAGCATTTCCATTTGAAGTGGCCTAACTGCA